GGAAGCCCGGGGCAGAGTTCCTCTGCCCCGGGCTTCCTGGAATCAGCCGTTGATCAGTTTCAACGGCGGCTGAATTTGGACGCCAGTTCCGACTTACATACAAATTCAACTTAAGAACAAACCTACAGTCCCTTTCTTGTACGTAACCCGGGGACTGCCTGTAGTTTTATTTTGGGATAAGGGAAAAAAGAATACAACAGGTTAAAACAGATATTTGAAAAATTTCAAAAAAAAAAAGTCTTCCTCTTCTTGTTCCTTCAGTTACTTTTTTCAGAGGGTTTGTAGTTAGCTATGGTTTAATTACGATCTCAGAAGTTTCCCAGCCATCCTTGACAACAGACAATTTTAATAATTTCTTCTCACACATCTATCACACTTAAAATCTGGCTTTCCTGAAATCTAGTATCCTGGTTTCACAGAATGCAGCAGTACAATTCCTTACCCACATTTAATTCAAGTAACTTTCAGATGATAGTTCAAAACTGTTACTATTCTCATTCTTAGCTAATTGATCCGTAAGTAATAGGTCCACAATGCTTTCTCTGCTTTTTTAGACTGTAATATTATCTCCCACTTGTAAAATCTTTTTGGACACAGAAATCACCAGTAACTGTTACATGCAGCGGACAACTGGCAACATACTCTACATCTGAAGAAGTGGGTTGTGTCCAAGAAAGCTCATGATATCGCCTGCATTTTTGGGTAGCTTCTAAGGTGCTGCAGAACTAGTAATTATTTTTTAAGTTTTTTCAGTTACAGACTAACACAACTACTTCTCACACTCTACAAAGGTCATCTACATCTGACGGAGAATACAGGAACATGTTTATCTGATGGATATTCTCATGTAAGGCATATTGAGCATGTGGGTTCTGAAGGCTCTCCAGCTGGTTTATGATACAAGTCAAAGTGTTCAATTTCATCTACCAGGGCTAGGTGGTTTTAATTCCTATCGTAGACACTGCTCTTCTCCATAGTCACTAGGGATGTAAATATCCATTTCAAAAGTTAGCCAGTTAAATGATCCAATTATAATCCTATAAATGGTTAACCATGCCATTGGAGTCGAGCCAGCTCACTGCAGGCTGACAGCTCCTCCAGCCCAGACCTTCACCAGCAAGCAGGGGCGGGATGGGGTGGATGCTGTGGCCAGCAAGGATCCATCAGGGAGGCAGAGAAGAAGGGCTGCTTCAGCTGGCCAAGGGAGGCTAAACCCACCACCTGTCCCTCCAGTTAAATGATTACCAGGTAAGCATTCCGGTAAGGCTAATGCTTACCAGGTAACCAAATAACCTATTTCATCCCAAATAAGTACCTGCCCTGGAAATGTGGAACATTTTACAAACAGTCTATACTTGCTCTCTGGCTATTTGGGGGTGGGATGTTATTTGAGAGTGTTCATCAGAATAATGGACAGGTCTCTGCTTTGAATTCAGTTTTCCAATAGTCCAACAAGTTTATCATGATTATTCTGAATGTATCCTAAAAATATTAGGGCTTTTACGGGTTAAGTGAAGTGAGCCGAGTTTCTCAGGAGTAGGAAAATTAATTTCTGTTATTTCTTGTGTTAAGTGCTAAAGTAAAAGAAAGTGTGCTTAGATTTTTTTTTACGAGTCATTTTGTATAAATTAACAATAAAGAGCTTTGCAGGCTATGTGTGTAAAGAAGAAAACTCACCAACCAATGCAATGCAGCAGCTGTTCTGCGCCAGGAACACTACGAACAGTTTTTAGAAAGGAGAGTGAGGAATACCATTGTTTTACTGAAACTACTGAGAGCAGTCTTGCAAAAAGAGCGATGAGATCTTAATGATGTAGTGTCTCATATCTCATCTGAAAAAGACACAATAGCATAGTGCCCCCTAGATAGTGGCTCAATACCAACTCAAAAGAATTCCACATACTTAGCAACAGGCAGCAGTTCCTGTAGCATGCTGGATTTTTTCTTGAATGGGTACCTCCGGTTCACGTACTGACCACACCCAACACAACATAGTTTGAAACATCTCACATGATCATAGTGAGGGACTACCAAGGTGACGCTTTTGTATATGGTTATGCTATACAAATAAATGTAGTAAGTCTGCCATAAAGCGAGATCAGATGAAAGGTAATCCTGTCTAAATGAACCATAACCTAAGAGAAACAGAACACGCTATTTACTAAAACAGAAAGATTCAGCAGAAGTGCAGAGAAATGGAGAAGCATGAGTGGCATGAGATGTGCGCTGCGTGTTTCTGATCGCATTAGTATAGAAATTTCAGTGTGCTTAAAGTACGTCCAGAATGGCATGGCACAAACAGTAAAAAAAGATTAAATTAAAACCCAGCTTTCACCAATGTCCCACTGACTGGCCAGCAAGAAGCCACTAAAACGTGCCACAAAAACCCAGTCCAAATATTTTCAGAGATTCTTTTTATAACAAGCATGTTATTTTATCAGGAATAGAGAAGGCCTGCTTAAACAAAACTGCAGGAAAAGAAATTAAGAGAAGGAAAATCATGCCAAGACTGCAAGATCTTTTTTGACATGTTGGCATATAAAATGATGCTGTTTCAGGTTTGAAGGGAAACTTACTGGCCATCTTTACGCAATTTTGATATTTCCTATTTCAAATGTTGCTGTAGCAATAGCAGCCTTTAACACACACAAAAGAGACTGCTTATATCCAGGAGAAAAGCTGTGGAACTAGAGCAGATTCCTCAGTCATTACTCTGCATTTTCCCTCCCTACTGCAAGCTCTTGACAAAAAAAACCTGTCAGTCAATTACGTGATTAGTCCCATTTCTACATTTTCCCACTGACTGTAAATCTTTTGTCTGCACACAAGCTAACATCTATTTTAACTAAAGTATAGGTCTCAAACACACTGTCTATGGGCCATCAAAGCATTTTCACAAGCCAGCCCAAGAGTCCTTGAGGGCTGGGGGGAGCGGGACAGGGTCAGCACTAGCCACCCATGCCCTGCCCCCGCCCAGTCCTCTGCCACCCATTACATCTCCTCCACAATCCCCCTTCTCCAAAGGATACGGCCTCAGTAATTATCAGGATGGCCTGGCGCAACAGCAGGGGTTGGACCCTCCACACTCACTGCGGAAAGCAGAGTGAACTCAACTTGCTCTGCTTCACTGAGTGCAGGGGACCCGACCCCTCCTACTACCCCATGACAGGTACCTATGGCTGCGTCCCTCAAGGAGGTGGGAGGGGGAAGGGCAGAAAGTGGCAAGGCTTAGGGGACTACAACATATACACACCCCAAACCATAGGAACTCCAAGGCAGGATTTGTGAAAATGCCCGAGCCATAGATGACCAATAGGCTGTGATTGAGACTCCTGAACTAAAGGCATGTCTAAAAATTAAGATGTAGTTAAATAGAAGCATGTTGACACTTATACTATTTTACAACTAGCTTATATCCATTTAGCTTGCATTGGTGCATTCCCTGATGCAAGCCAACATAATAGAAGCCAGATGAAAAAAGTTTAACTATATCTGCTTATAAAAGCAAAGCTTATTCAATATCTGTGAATAGATCAAGGCTAAAAGACACACGTCTCTGAAGTTAAAAAAAGGACTCCAACTTCATGGCACATTTGAGTGGGCTCCCATGGCCAGACAAAGGCTGTTGCAGTCTGAGTGCTATTGCAATCGTGCAAAGAATAAATGCACTCTGTCTGTAGTGGCCAAATAATGTGGGTACCTGGGATTTGATGCGTCTGGTTCTCTTCAGCACAACGTTCATTCTTGTGCCCTGCTTTGTGGAAGCCTGGGCATCAGAGCCGAGGTCCTCTGCCTCCACTTTTTCCTTAATGTCCAAGTTTGACTTTTGGATGCCCTAAAGGATCAGAGCACAGAAGGATACCAGGTTGGTTGATCAGGGGATCAGACTCCCTATGGTCTGTGAATCATCCTGTTTGTTGAGAAATAGGGCTATCAGTGAAGTCATACTGCAATACACATGCCATTTGGACCAGAAACAAATCACTGCATGCAGCCTGAAATAAGAAGATTCAATCTCGACAGATGCCTAACAAAGAATAATAAAGACACCTTGCCAAACAGGTACATCACTCTTTGCCCTGTTTCCCGTTCCCAACAAAAAACTCGTCTCACACCTATAAAGGAAACCTAAAAGTACGATCAGTACTCCAGATCACAATGCAACTTCTAATTCTATTCTTCCAAATCTGAACAGGTACAGGTTTGATGAAAGCAACTGCTATTTTCAAGAGCACAAAATCACATGTGATATAGTTTAGTGTACGGCAAGAAACTGATGCAGTTTGGGTCCCATCTTTCTATCATGGAAGGGAACAAGTCTCTCACCATAAGGCTAACCCCAGACTGGAAGAGTTCATAGGGGTACAGTATCCTTTCATAGTGTGACTTCAGCAGCGATCCAGTGCCTTTTCCTGGCAAGTAGCCTAGTCGACTAGCCACTTTGGACCATTTCTTCTCTTTAGTGACCACCTCAAAGCCTCCTTTGCTGGCGACAATCTGAAACAAAACAAAAAAATTTAAGAAAAGTTCTTTAAGAAAGTGTGAATTCTTCTAAACACAGTGTATGAACCAGACATGACTAGACAGACCAAACCTTCAAAGGTTCTAGGAAGCTCAAAGACCCATCATTACAATATGGGTATTTTTCTTGCCAGGGCAGTACTTTAACAAATGCATATCAATCTCAGCAACTGCTGCATTTATTAGAACCCCATTTTTCAGAAATTAATAAAAAGTATATACCATACCACAAAAAGTGAGGGAGCAGATTCAACTAACAACTCAAACTAACAAACCCAAGACAGCATGAATTGTTGAAGCTCAAGACTCCAGAATTACAAATTTCTCGGAGAATCCTGGACAAAAAACAGAAACTAAGCACAGATTTCACCTTTCACCCTAGCTCAGGACTGCCACTGCAACAGTATTTCAATTTCTGTTGGCTACATAGGACTAATTTATTTCACCTGAAAAACAGTCCATTTGTCTTCACATGAAAGTCAGTGGCACAGGAGATGTTTCTTCTCAACACTGGCAATATTTTCACCCTCACTTCCCTCTTATAAGGGTTGCTGACGAGCAGTTTAAAACAAAAGTAGACCAACTCTGGTTTCACTGAAATTTTGTAAAGATACTAAACATTTCTACACATCTTTAGTTTGGTGGCAAACTTTTTCCTCCTCAAAGAACCCAAGTTATATGCCCAGTGCTAAAGCGATTGATGGAAACCCAGACACAAAAGTATTATTACTGCAGTGGAACTAAAAATGAAAACCTTACCAATGTAGCTTCTAAACTGATTCAAGTGCAAACACAACAGCCTAAGTGAAAACTAATTTAGATTTTTAATTAGTCAGTTTTTATAATCGTTAACAGAAGTAAAACTTAAAACCACACTTTCCTCTATTAATTTGGTTTTTTTCCCACATAAGGTATTCTCCAGTTCAGTTTTTAAAAAGTGAGAGAACCCATTATGTAAAATTACATTTACACTTTTAGCTTAGAATAGCCAAGCTTTATGGAGTGCCCATAACCAGTGTATGCAGCTGACACTATCAGATAAGCAACATAGTGAAAGCAACCAAAGTTTATACTTGCTCATTTTGAACAAAGACCAATTACCTAGATACCAACAAAGGAAATTACCTGGACATAAACAACAACCTTTGCACCTTTGCAATCAATTAGGGGAATAAGTTTCCATTAAACAAAGCAAGAAATTTGTGCCTTCAACTATTTAGAAGAACTGAAGTATTTAAGTCTCTCAGAACCAAGAAATCTGTTCTAGCTCGTGCCAGTGTTCCAAATGTGTCATTCCCATTGGCACTATGTACAGATTAATGTATTATTCCCTAACAAACCCTGACAGACATAGAAATAAACCTTCATTGCTTTCCAAAGACAGCTAAGAAAACAAACACATAGCCTTATGGGCAATGACAAACAAATTCTTCTCAAGTACAATCTTTTAAAGCCATGTACCTTACACAAGGGTGACAGAACTAGGGAAGCAGCAGTCCCCAGCTTGAAGTGGTTGCAATCAAAAACAGGGTTTACATTTGTGTTCAGGCTTTCAATAACCCCTCTCTACAAACTGTTTCAATTCCACTGATCCTACTGCTCAACTTACAAGCTTACAGTCAAGTGAGAAACAAACATTTTGATCAGCAAGTGAAAACTGACAATGATATAGCAGTGTTAATACCACCACACATTTGTAGGGCTAGACTATACTAAAAAAAAAGGTAGTGGAAAAACACTTCTTGTGTAGATGCAGTTTATATTAGCAAAAGACTGCTTTAAGCAGCTAGATTGGAAAAAGGCACTCTTACTCAAAATATTTGTAACCTGGAAGATTTGAAGTATCCCACATAGTGACTTATACCAGCATAGTTATAAGTTCTTCTTCCTACTCGAGGCTGGCACTTATAAGCCAGCACATACTGACCCCTATAAATAATTACTTCAGACTAGCTATTCTGATACATTTCCAAGTATAGACAGGCCCCATAGTCTTGCAAAGAGCTCTACACTCCTACAGCTCAACCCTACAATGTGCAGAGAGCAGCAAAGAAGAACTGGCCAATAAAAACACTGATTAATTCTGCAGGACTTTCATACTGCATACTGAGCAACCAACACAAAGGTAATTGTTGTATGTACTTATAATTGCCTGCCATCTCCTTAAAATATTTGTAATCAAGAGGATTATAAGTATCTCCTTGTTTTCATGGTATATCCAGTTCACAGCCTGCATGAAACTGCTACTATCACCCAGGGTCGTCCTGTGCTTCCCATATCCTAAAGAATGTTACTCACCTTGCTCAGAGAATACAGATCCAAGATTTTTCTCTCCACCACAGGAATTTTTAAAGTGGAACCTTGAAGTTCCCAAAATTTTGCTAACTGATCCAAGAAGTCCAGTTTCACTCTGGTCATTGCCTATAATCACAACAAGAATACCCAAGAGTTTGAACCTAGTCAGATATGAAAGAAATACCTAAAATCTAAGCAAAAAGGCATCAAAGGGCAACTGTATTTACATGTTCATGATGTAACTACAAATAAGACAGTTTACTATTCATTTTCTCTATACAACAACTGGAGGCAGAAATGTGAGCAACAGGGAAAAACCATCAAACTTTTAAACTTTACCCACTAGCTCATGGGTTCCCAAACTGGGAGGGGTGAAGAAATTCCAGGGGGGGCATGAGGCGACCCAGCACCCTCCCTCCCCCCCAATCAAGTTTTGCTGCCCTGGAAAGTTCCTCCCCCCCCTATCTATGGGGGGAGGAGGGGAGGGAGGCATGAGGGTTTCTCAAAAATCGGGCGTGATGCCGAAAAATCGGGCGTGATGCCGAAAAGTATGGGAACTGAGAGTATCCCATATCCCAACAGGCTCAAAATTATGAGGGAGGTCCTTTTCTTCCTAGATATGGCCCAACAACATGTTAGGCAGAGCAATGTCTATCTTCCCCAGATTCACATGTCACTCTGGGGCTTAAGCATCCAGAAATCTAAAGTGAGGTTGCAGTGCACATACGCAGAAACACAGGTAACAAAGGAACTTTTACTGCAAAAACGTAGACACCAACCAGGTTTAGGCACCAATGATGTCTGGCAGGAGCCGAGCAGGGATTCTGTAAAACACTATCCGCCCTAACTCTGATTCTTAGGTGACTAAAGTGGCAATAAGGGATCTATGTCCTTTTGTGAATCTAGGTCATGATGTTATCAGAATAGCACACAGATTTAAAAACTAGTGAGAGTGAAGAAGAGAAATATCTTTGGAAAAATCTTAACAGAAAAGGAATTGTACTCATTTTTAAAAAAGGCTCCAATTAAATTTTAAAACTAAAAATTAACCTGACTGGGTCTATAAAACGAAGTATTAGTGCCAGAGGTTTATTGTTTGTTTTAAAGACTTAGAGATATTATCCAGGTGGTTAAATATCAGGCAACTTGGGAATTAACAGCCATAAATACCTTACAGAAAGACAGCAAGGGAATTGAGGGCTAAACACTGGCTAATCTTACTAGATAAAATGGTCCTTGGCATTCATTTTAAATATTTCCAGTTGAGAATAAAAACCTTTTTGTGGTTATTTTGAATAATAAAATAAAAGCCAGACTTCTCAAAGTCTTGGAGAGTTATTTTATCCAAACTCTGCTAGTGCCAATTATAAGCTCTCATGTGGTTTGTGGGATATTAAAGTCTACCAATCCAGAAACTAGTCAAGATGCAAAACTCAAGAGACATATTGCTTTGTGTGAATACAGAATTATATCAAAGGTCCAAAAGCTCACCTCCAGTTCATTCAAGCGCTGGACCCGTGGGGTGAAACGAAAGTTTTGTACTTCACATGCAAATGGAGGCTGCCAGTCCTAGAGAGAGAGAGACAGAGATGTTACTGCTTCAAAAATATAAGGAATACCCCATAACCTCCTCTCACAAACGTAAAAGAGGCTCCCTAGAATTTCAACAGTCCAAATCAGCTGATTACAGAAAGAACAAATCAAAGATTTTTTCTTGTTAAGTATTCTAACCTGAGAATTTTCCATTTCAGAAAAGCATGGAAATTTCATAATTAATGAGCTTCTCCCCAATACTTGTGTTAGGAGTAAGGAAAAACTATTAAGATGCCTCAATAGAGAGCCCATGAAAGTAAAAATATCATAGCTTAAAATATTTAGATTGATATTACCCTTACATTAAGTTAGAGCATAAGAGAGGTTTTCATGGAGAGAACCATATGGCAAAATTACCATATTGTAGTGCTTTTATAAAAGGCCTGTAAAGCCCCAGATATTTCAAAATCTAACTAATAAATTTATTAATTTCAAATAAACCACAGCACTTGAGGCAAGGTTGCTGGCACATATGGACATGAAGGGAGCAAGACATGTACTAGAGATAAGAATACAAGCATAAGAAATGTAACCCTCAGAAATGGGGTCTTAGAGCATCTCAAGCCAAAATGTAAAACTGGCACACAAACACACTATGCAACCCAATTTTGTTACTCAAATTAGTTGTTAACTTCAAGGGAGCAAGATAAGTCTTCTAGTACTTTTAAAAAAAGATTTAAGAAGTTACACAGCCTATCTAAAATAAAATGATGATAAACTGACACTAAAATTGTTCATTATTTTTATTGCAGTAGCACTTAAAAGCCCCAATCAGAACTGTAAAATATTTACAATTTCAAATAAACAAGAGGAATAATGAATAAGTAAAGTTACAGTAAAGTGTTTCATCTAATTGATGCTGCGGATTTTAAACAACCAGACCAACTTGCAACGTAACCTGCTAATCAATCATACAAAGGCAAAACCAAGAGTTCAGTTGCAAAGAAATCCCAAGCTGTTTTTTCTGGCCAGAATCTTGAATGGTTTCTTCAGCCTTTTGGATTCCACAATCAAGCAAAAGTAATTTGCTTATTTTAGAAAAGGTAACTTCTTGGAGGTCAAGCTTTCACCATATCACAAAGCCAACTAAGCAGATTCCAGCAACTCGCAGAACAGAAGGAAAAAAGCCTGAGGAACACAAAATGTAAGCAACAGTTTCTACAACCTTCACTGCCACACCTTCGTGGGTTCTCCTCTCCTTTCTCAACCACTTCAATCTTTCATATTCACTATTTCTATTTTAAAGTTGATTTATTCTTGTCTGCACCTAAAAATTGTGTTTTAATTTGAAGTTGTTTGAAGTACATTCTACTGAGAAACTGCTGTATTTACCAGAAGCCTCTAGACTGCAGGACAAATTGTCATAAAATAATGCTGCAGGCATAGTCCAGCTATTCTAACCTAATTTCGAGCCTTTTAAAAAAAAAAAAAACACACACAAATACCAATTTTCCTGTTGCAAACAGATCATTGACAATTCTTATAATACTCAGAAAATTATATTTAAGTAGAGTGGTATCAGAATGGAAAATCCTTCTTCCCCAAAAAGAACGAACTAGTTTTCATATGAACCATGTTTGCAAATTTAAGATCCAAACGAACAGTATGTTACAAAGTAACAGATCAGCAACCGAGCACATTTATTCACCAGTATTAATGCAGCCATAGTTTTTTAGGTTCAAGATAAACATACAAACTGCGTGTCCCTGACAAAGACACCATGGTTTACTGATCTGCTACCCGAAAAGGGCGACATAACCGGAAGGGCTTTAAACCTCAGCCATGGTTTTTTTTTTTCGGGGCGGAGAGGAAGGAGAACAGTTTTGCATCGTTATCAAACGCTCTTACTTCATGTGCTCTTTACACCCGACACAGCGGCGAAAGAAGCTCCCAAATATCCCCTGTGGCGCTGTCAGGCACCCAGATGTCGGATTAAGCCACGGCCGCGTCCGTGGCATCTCCCGGCCTCACGAAGCCGAGCTCCGAGAGCCGCCTCCAGAGGCTGAGCGAAGTCCCGGCCTGCAGGAAGGGCCCCTCACACCCACTAGGGAGAAAGCTCCTAGGAAACGGCACCCCGGGGTCACCTCAAGCCCCTTCTCCTGGGCGTGACCTGCCCCTCCCCCGTGCGGTACCTTGGGGGGTCGGATCTTGCAGATGCCGGTTTTCTCGGCCAGC